GTGTTTGAATGAGAACCAACTTAAAGGCACAAAACAACACTAACAACAAATAAATATAACCATATCCATATCCTGGTGTGGTGCTGCAGGGTAATGCACTGGACCACAATGTCCAGTGAGAGTGGAGGCTCCAAAAGAATAGCACTGGACTGTGAAGCACAAGGTATTCAGTTCGAACCTGCCAGCTGCTCTGCGGCAGAAAGATGAGGCTTTCTGCTACGGATAAGAAGATTTAAAGCCTCAGAAACCCTGTATAGGGTCGCTATGAGTTGGAACTGACTCAATGGCACTTAACAACAACAAAATATATATCTGGAGTCATTGTGTAACACTGTATGATAAGCACTGGACCATAAGTTCAGTTTGAATTGCACGGTTGGGAGTTCGAACTCACCATCCACTCCTCAGAAACCCTATGCAGGGTCGCTGTGAGTCAGAACAACAACAGCATCATAGCTAAAGAAAACCAGGAAGGTAAAAATATGGTAAAGTCGTTACTTACCACTGAGGTACAGGATTATAGTGATTTTTATTTTCTTCCTTTATAAGTCTTTATTTTTAAATGTCAATAATTATGATATAGTTTTACTTTGGTTATATAAGTTTACTTTAAAAAACAAGTAATAAAAAGCAAATACTATGTCTGAAAATACAAACAACTCATCAACATTGTGACTGGAGGAAAATTCACAGCTCTAAATGCCTATGCTGAGAATAAAGAAAATAAGTAATACTTTCCTTATGTTCTTGCTAATTCATTAAGACATAGATTACAAACTAATACTGCTTACTGAAAATCAAATTCAAATTCCAACAGCCTACATATATTTCAATATTATATGCATGGTACTTTACATAGAATACATACATTGCATTCTTCTTTAACTGTTTCTTCTAACTGCGTTGCATATTGTGAACAACATACCAACAATGAATTGAGATCATCCCCAACCTTTTGAAAAGAAAAAAATGTGAAGTTACTTTTATTTCAGAAAATATTTGCATATCTATGTGTTAGCACATTATAACTACTTGTTGAAAACATTTCCATTTTTGTGTAATTTATAACTCTTCAAGTATGTAACACAACAACAAGTATATAAAACATGACAACACTAGCAAACTATTCCACAGAGAAAGTAGGCTTTGAAAGTGGCCCATTAATGACATAAGCTCAGCTATAGCATTGTTTCTCCTGCACGATGTTACAAAAAATCAAATATTTTAGTCTTATTGTTATTGCTATTGGGTTCTGACTCATAGCAACCCAGTGCACAAGAGAATGAAATAGTGCCCAGTTCTGTACCTTCCTCACAGTTATTGCTACATTTGAGCCTATTGCAGCTGCCACTGTGTAAATCCATCT